TTTTTAAAGATTTATTTATTTATTAAGTATACAGAAGAGGGCGCCAAATCTCATTACAGATGGTTGTGAACCACTATGTGGTTGCTGGGAATTGAACTCAGGACCCCTGGAAGAACAGTCAGTGCTCTTAACCTCTGAGCCATCTCTCCAGCCTTAAATAAATCTTTTTTAAAAATTAATTAATTAATTAGAAAATAAATCCCATGTACCGTTTTATCCATGTTTCTCCTGGTGTCTCTGTTGCCAGATATTTTAGGAAGATTGGCTAGGGTTAATCTATAGACCATATGCTATGTATGGTATGGAACACTGCATTTCTAGATGATACATATTTTTAATAATTAGGCTAATATAACTTTATATATTTAGCATCCACCTTCATCTAACACATTAGTGTCCCCAAATTCGTCCATGTTAAAGGGAAGACAGAGGCCAGGCATGGCAATGCACGCCTTTAACCTTCAATCCCAGCACTTGGGAGGCAGAGACAGGTGGATCTCTGTGAGTTCAAGGCCAGCCTGGTCTACAGAGTGAGTTCCAGGACAGCCAGGGCTACATGTAGAGACATCTTGTCTCAAAAATTAAGGGGTGGGGGGGTAGTATACTTGGATTAGCCACAACTGTCCATAGTTGCAACTCAAAACTAGAGACGATGTACTCAGCTAGTGGGGAATCCTTCTTTAGGATCAAACACAAGTTGCATTAAAGAACAACAAAAACAAAGCTTTAATTATTAAACAAATATTGTCCAGTCTGGAAATACAACCAGAGGCCTTTCTCTCCCACCTCCTTCACTAATGCAAGTGGAACTGTGGATGGAATCTGCTTTCACAGCTCCTAACCTAGCAGCTCCTAACAAAAAATAACACCAAGGCAAAGGTCTAGCAAAAAAGCCTGCCCGAGGGCTGCTCAGGCTGCAGGGCTCCAATGACTTAAGTGTGCACATGGCTTCTAAGACACAGAGAAGGAGACCTCACCTTAGGCATCAGGGTGTTGGAAGCGGGAAGTAGTAGGTCCATGAGTTGTCTTGTTTTCTGCACTTACATGGGGTGCTATCTCCAGAGACGCTCCTTACAGAGTGTGCCCAAGATGCATTGCTCTAAGTTGCTCTCAGGTGTCCAGCTGCCCTCACCAATAAGTCAGTCTTTGTAGGATGACAGAAACCACCAGTCAAAGCAGATGCATATGGACTGAGGGGAAGCCTTCTTTAGTGTCTAACATAGCTGGATTAAAACAAAGAAACTTAACCATTAAGCAAATCTGAACTTTAATCATGACTTAAAATACAGCAGATAACAAGTAGTAGGAGTCAGACTTAAGAGGCCAGCCTCAGCGTAGGCACTGCACACGTATTAATGGGGCCTGGGGAGCCTTGACTTAAGGCCACAGTGAGCCCATTTGTTCTGCAGGAAATTCATTTGGTTTGATAAACATGTAAATAAGATTAAACAAAAAGGATTACTGGTAATTTAGCTCCTCCTCTCAGATGCCGCTAAGCAACTCTCTCAGTGAGTGACTTGTATTGTAATAAGCTGCACTCCAGGAATGCATGTGTGGTTTTATTGCAATTTGCAATAATGATTTAAATACATGTTCACTTCCTGAATTTTCTAAAACATAATCAGATGAAATCAAGTAAAATTAGTAACAGTAATATAGCAACTAACGAAACTGTCTCAAAATAGCTACTGATGGAATGCCATTCTCTCACACACAATTTTTTTCCTCTACACTTTGATGTAATCCAAGCTGACCTTGAACGAACAGAATGACCTTGAACTTCTGATCTGCGTGCCTACCACCTGGGTACTAGAACTACAAACTTGCAGCCTCCCTTTTTATGCATGCTAAGCAGTCTTTCTACCAACTAAGCTACATCCTTAGCCATTTTCCTGAATAAAACTCAAGAAATCACCCCTGGGCTGGGGAGATGCTCAGAGTTGGTATCTGTGGCCAAGTCTAATAACCTAAATTCAGTCTCAAAAACCCACATGGTAGAAAGAGAAAACCCACTCTTAAAACTGTCCTCTGCCATCCACAGCCACATACGAACTAAATACAGAGTAACAACCACAACAAAAAAAAGAAATTCTAAATTCAGGTGATGTCTGTATACACAGGATTACAGAGCTTTTCTCCTCAAAGAAATCACCTACAGGGCAGGTGTGGTAGTGCACACCTTTAGTACCAGCACTGGTAAGCAGACCTGAGTTCAAGGCCAGTCTGGTGTATATAGACAATTCCAGGTAAGCCAGGGCTACACAGTGAGACCCTGTTTCAAAAATGATAGATAGTTGGATGGATAGATTGGATGGATGATAGATAGATAGATAGATAGATAGATAGATAGATAGATAGATAGATAGATAGATAGATAGATGGGTTAGGTAGGTAGATAGACAGACAGACAGACAGACAGACAGACAGAATCACTCCAAAATCTTTTCAGTAACTACCGTTTCCTTTTCCTGTATCAAAAGCATGAACAAGTCTGAGAATCAACCCAAGCTGAAGGACTCCAAAACAGGTCTTCTCTGAAGCACACTTCCTCTTACAGGTACAATGACAAAAGGAACTGGTATTGTAAACCAGACCTTCCTCAACCTCATAGTGGCACACACCTTTAATCCCAGCAAAGGGGAGGCAGAGGCAGGCGGATCTCTGTATGAGGCCAGCCTGGTCTACAAAGTGAGTTCCAGAACAGCCAGAGCTACAAAGTAAGACAGCTGCAACACACACACACACACACACACACACACACACACACACACACACAAATACCTCCCTCGTTTTGTGTCCCTTCAACCAAATTTCTTAAATTTATTATCTGTGTGTGTGAGAGAGCACATACACGTGTTGGAAATCAGAGAACAACCTGGTAGAGTTGATTCCTCCCACTTCATGTCGGGTTTTGAGTTCTGATGATTAAACTTAAGTTGTCAAGCTTACCTAATTAGCTGTGTACCCACTGAGCCATCTCCCCAGCTCCTCAACTGCCTTTTGTTTCTGTTTTTGAGACAGGGTCTCTCCATATAGCCCTGGCTGTCCTAGAACTCAGGAGATCTACCTGCCTCTGAGTCCTGGGATTAAAGGCATACACTACACCCAACCTAACTGCCTGCTGCTTTCTTCTCTCTCTCTCTTTTGGTTTTTCAAGACAGGATTTCTCTGTGTTACCTTAGCTGTCCTGGAGCCCGCTCTGTAGACCAGGCTGACCTGGAACTCAGAGATCTGCCTGCCTCTGCCTCCCAAGTGGTGGTAATAAAGGGAGTGTACCACCATAACCTGGCTTCCTCAGCTAATTTTTAATGTACTTGTTATATGGATTCCCAAATCTATACTTCTGGACACACTATAGGATGTAATTATCATAATACTTTCCTATTCTTTTTTTTTTTTTTTTTACTATTTAGTTATTTATTTTAAGGTATGAATGCTCTGTCTGCATGTATGCCTGAATGCCAGAAGAGGGCATCAGATCCCATTATAGGTGGTTGTGAGCCACCATGTTGTGCTGGGAATTGAACTCAGGATCTTTGGAAGAGCAGCCTGTGCTCTTAACTACCAAGCCATTTCTCCAGCCCAAAACTTCCTATTCTTAAATCTGAGGCAGTAGTAGTTTGCACTTTTAATCACAGCATTTGGGAGGCATAGGCAGGTGAATCTCTGAGTTCAAGGCCAGCCTGGTCTACAGAGCGAGTTTCAGGATAGGCTCCAAATGTATTAACTAACACACACAGACAGACAAACAGACAGACACACACACACACACCCACACACACCATCATTTTCCTGAATGCTAATAAAATACTTGGAACTAGACAACAGACAGAACTCTTGATATAATAATATTTTCTACAAGAACTGGATTCCTCAAGTCTAGCACAAGTGGCAGTAACCATCTGCTAAGTGGATTATTTCAATTTCCCTTACTGCAAGATTACTGAAAAGATTAGGGGGTTGGACAGTGGTGGCTCACAACTTTAATCCCAGAGGCAGAGGCAGTCAGATCTCTGTGAGGGCAGCCTGGTCTACAGAAGGAGTGCCAGCACAGGCTATTACACAGAGAAACTCTGTCTCAAGAAAACAAAACATTAGGGGAAGTATCAAAATAACTATCCTCCAACTATTCTTTCTATAAACCTTTCGGCCTTCCTGGTCAGCAGCTGGGAGGTGGAGGCAGGCAGACCAGTAGTAGTCGTCCAGGGTCCTCTTCCACATGAAACCCTGCCTCCAACAAAACAAAACGACAACACAAAAGCCAGATGATGGCACCTGAAAGGGAGACAGGCAGAAGATCCTAAGCTTGAGGCAGGCTGGACTTCATTGAGAGAACTGTCCCAAAGCAGCAGTCAGGAAGTTTTAAAAGACAAAACATTTTGGGGCCAGAGAGACGATTCTACAGTTAAGAGAACTAGCTGCTCTTCCCAGGTTCAATTCCCAGCACCCACGTGGGAACTCACAACTATCCATAACTTCCATTCCAGGAGATCTGACACCTTCACATACATACATGCAGGCAAAACACCAATGTACATAACATAAAAATAAATTATTTTTAAAAGGGGAGGAGCCTCTTTTGGGCACCTATGAGGCTTGCCCTGCCCAATTTCTTCTAGCTGCCAGTGCTAGGTTTGGGTCCATGTAGGTCAAACCTTTTCTATTAGCCAGGTGCCTTTGATCCCAGCACTGAGGAGGCAGAAGCAGGCGGATCTCTATGAGTTCCAGGCCAGCCTGGTCTACAGAGAGATCTGGAACAAGCCCCGAAACAACACAGAGAAACCCTGTCTCAAAAAAACTAAAAAAAAAAAAAAAAAAACAAAAACAGAAATAAAAACCTGTCAGTGCCCCTAATCCCCAAGGACAACAACTGAGTTCGCCTTACTAACACAGGCCACGTCAGGGACACCACTGCATCTGTACCACCTGTGTCCTCACGCTTTCCAAACTCAGATCTGGATGATCTGAGTCACTGTTTCTGAACGCCAGAATCTAACTCAACAGACAGCAAATTTCTCTGATTTTTTTTTTTTGTTAGATAAAAAGATATATACACAAAGACAAAACTATCAATAACCTCCATCTTCCAGCTGAGCTTGGGCGCGGCACTTCATTAACTCCTGCTGATTTAAAAGCTGTCTCAGGCTGGTGAGATGGTTCAGAAGGCAAAGGCACTTGCCACCAAAGCTGATTGCTAGTACCCATCTGGAGAAAAGAAAGAGCTAACTCCCACACATCGTCCTCATAACACACACACACACAAACACACACAGAGTAAGTAAATGTTCTTATAAATAAATAAAGATGCCTTAGGAGCCAAGTTCCATGACTACGCATCAACCCTCAAGGAACAGGAGAACAAATGTCAAGAAAGAATCGAGAGGACAGAAACTCAGATATGAGGACTAGAGAGATGGCTCAGGAGCTAAGAGCACTGGCTGCTCTTGCAGAGAACCCTGATTTGATTCCCAGCACCCACAGGACAGCTCAAAATCATCTGTAACTCCAGTTTCAGGGAACCTGATGTTCCTTTTGGCCTTCAAGGTACCGGATACACCCTGCAGCACAGACACACATGTGGACAAAATTAGACACATAAAAATAATTGTTTAAAAACTCAGATGCTAAAAAAAAAAAAAAAAAAAAACCTCAGATGCTAAGTTGGGTACAGTGGCATATATCTTTAATCCAGCACTTGAGAGACAGAGGCAGGTGGATCTCTGTGAGTTCAAAGCCATCCTGGTCTACACGGAAGTTCCAGGACTTCATAGTGAAAGCCTATCTTGAAAAATAAACAAGCAATTCAGACACTGACAATCACACTCTCATCCTCTCATCGGCCAGAAAACCATTCTAATGCAACTTTGTCGCATCTCAATGACAACACAACACAGTAACACAGGCTGCAGCCACTTGTGGCAGCCACATCCTGTAATCCCAGAATTCTGGAGAATGAGGTAGAGAAAAGGCTCCCCAATGGGGGGCCAATCGGAGCAACAAATAAAATGGCTATGGAGATGGCTCTGTGGGTGAGAGCATTTGCTGCCTGCCCAGGCATGAGAACCTGAGTTTGAATTGTCCTCACCATGTAAAAAGTCAGGCATGACCACGTATGTTCATAAGTCCAGGATTGGGAGGTCTGAGGAAGTGGACTCCCACGAGCTCACTGTGCAGCCAACTTGGCCAAGCTTCAGGTTCAGTAAAAGAACCTTTTTTTTTTTAAGATTTATTTATTTTATGTATATAGGTGTCTTGTCTATGTGTATTTCTGCACACCAGAAGGTATGGGATCCCCATGAAACTATAGACAGCTATAAACCACCATGTTCGGAATTGAACACAGAACCTCTAGAAGAGCAGCCAGTGCTCTTAACCACGGAGCCATCTCTTCAGCCCCCAAAGAACCTTTCTTTTTTTTTTTTTTTTCTTTTTCTTTTTGTTTTTT